TCCTACTTCTCTAGTGTCATATCTATTTTTATTGCTTTTAAAAAATTCATATAAGAAATGTGGTGGGACAAGCCCGAGTTTAAATTTTAGCATGAAGAGTAAGTTTTGGTAAATGTTAATTCTATAGACGTTTAGTGCATTTAGGAGTTTAAACAAAGGTTCAGCATGAGTGAGTTTATCTTTTTTATAGACAATTCTAATGGCATGTTTTTGATGTTGATAAAGTGATTTTAAATTAGATTTATGGGTACTGGCCCATGCTATATTACCATATGTATAATAGGTATGTATAAATGAAAAATAAAGATGTTTTAGATTTTCTTGGGATAACATTGGTCTAGCTTTGTATAGCACGCCAATGTTTTTGGTTATTTTAGTATTTAAATAGTCAATATGGGCTTTCCATGTAATATTTTGATCAATAAGTAAACCTAGGAATTTAGCTGTTGTGGTTCTTTCGATATTTTCGTTTTTTATAATTAGCAATGACAATATATATTTGGTAGTTTTTTTCTTTTTTGATTTGGATGGAATAAGATGTAATTAGTTTTTTCTGTGTTTAAAGATAGCTTATTAGATTTTAGCCAATTATTAAGTTTTTCGAGTTCAATATTCGTTGTTTCAAAAAGTTCTGTAATTGACGGGGATGAATAAAATAAATTAGTGTCATCTGCAAACATTATGACATCAAGTTTGTTTGAGTCTTTTGGAAGTTAATTAATGTATATTAAAAACAGTAAAGGAGCTAGAATGGAACCTTGGGGAACGCCTCATTTGATCTTTAGCAATTTTGAACAGATATTTTCATCAGTATTTACACATTGTTGTCTGTTTAGCAAAAAGTCTCTACTCTAATGTAAAAATCTCTACTAAAAATCTAAAAATCTCTACTAAAAATCTTTTTTTTTTTTTTTTTTTTTTTTGTTCTTTATTACAATATTTATGATACAGATACAAATAATATAAAAAATAAAAGGTAACAAGTCAATATATCGTTAAGAATAATATAAAGAATATTAATAAATATAAAGAACGCGGATACTCAAAGAAGACCATCAGGTCTTGTCACAGAGAAACCGCTTTTGAACGTTTTTTTTTTTTTTTTTTTTTTTAATTTTATTTTTTTTTTTTTTTTATTATTATTATTATTATTTTTTTTCAATGTTTTCATTCTTTGTATTTATTCATTTTTGTTCAGTTTCTTTTTATTACAAAATTAAATTTATTAATAAAAGTATATAAAGTTCGTAATATAATATTATAAATAAACATACAATATTACAATAGAAGAGTTCTAAAACTTAAAAACTAAAACATGTTAAATAATTCACTAAAATAAAACATGTTAAATAATTGCTTGTTGATAAAAAATTAAATAAATAAAAAAGAATGTACATTAAATATATTCATATACTAATATAGACAAGTGATTTTCAAAAATTTAAAAGTAGATTAGTATATTTTCAGTTGAAAAAATAAGTTTTTTAAGATTTTGTTTAAAAGAATCAAAATTACATTCTTGAGATAAATCTTTAGAAGTATTTAGAACTATACTATTCCATAAAAATGGTCCGCGAAATGAAATAAAAAATTTTCCAAAATTAGTTTGAGAAAATGGTTGTCGAATTAAGTTATCGTTCCTTAGAATATATTTATTTCTATCTCTTTGTAAATACAAGTTACGAAAAGAAACGGGTGATAGGTTGGTCTTGCATTTATACATAAAACAAAGAATATTAAAAACATTTAACTCATATATATTGAGTGCTTTCATATCATATAAAAGAGGCTTGGCGTGAGCAAAACGGTCCTTGAAATTTATAAGGCGTGCTACATGCTTTTGTTGCCGATAGAGAGGTTTAAGTTTACTTTTATAAGTGCTACCCCAAGCAATGTTTGCATAGTTGATATGGCAATGAATTAACGAATAATATAATTGAATTAAGGTATTTTTATCAAGAATGTTTCTTATTTTGTATAAAATGCCTATACTCTTTGAAATTTTACTGCACAAGTTAGCAATGTGGCATTTCCATGTAAGATTTTCATCGATATATACACCTAAAAATCTTGTCACTAAAACTCTATTAATAAATATGTTATCGATAAATAGATAAGGTAAGTTGCTAGGCAGCTGGTGCTTTTTACCATAAGGATGAAAAAGAATCCATTTAGTTTTATCAATATTTAGTGATAGTTTGTTTAATCTAAACCATTCGGAAATTTTGACTAGTTCAATGTTCATATTGCTAAAAAGTGTAAAAATGTTATTATGAGAAAGAAATAGGTTAGAATCATCAGCAAACATAATTGTCATTAGGTTAGAAGCTTTTGGTAGATCATTAATATATATTAAAAATAGGAGAGGTCCTAATATGGATCCTTGAGGAACTCCACATGAAATATTTAACAAACTAGATGATACGATATCATTCGCATAAACAAATTGTTTTCAATTATTTAGGTAACTTTTTAACCAAATTAATATTTTTCCAGTAATCCCGTACCACTCCAACTTTTTAAAAAGAATTTCGTGATCTATAGTATCAAAAGCTTTCGCCAAGTCAATGAAAACACCTAAAGTAAATTGAGTATTTTCAAATGAGTCAGATATATTTCTTGTAAATTGTAGAATGGCAAATCTTAAAATCTCTACTTTTATGGTTTTTGCTTGATACGAATGAAAAGTGCTATCAGCGTTCAAAAGCATTATAAGCGTTTCATTCAAAACTAAATTGCTAAAAATTATCATGTGTTCTCACAGAATAAAAAGAAGCTATTCTAAAACTTTTTTTCCCATTCTTTTTATTCGTATTCTCGAATTATTTCATTTAGCGTTACAGTTTTTGTATCCGTATAAATTTTTTTGCAAAAATGTATTAAAAAATATTTTAAGTGAGATTTTTTTAAGTTAATAGAACTTTGTGGTTATCGACTACATAACACTCTTAGACTTATATTAAGAAGTTTAATGGTTAAAAATGCCGGGTACTGCAACAAAATGGCCGATACCGGGTACCCGGTAAAACAGCCGAATTGCCGGGTCCCCGGGTCCGAACCGGGTACCCGGCACATCACTACAAACTCGGTGTAGTTAAGGCGATTTATAAAATATTCGAATACTTTTATTTTTTATTTGTCAGCATATTATGTCTAAACAAGATCTTCAAATGCTATAATTTTTTTTGCTCAAAGTTTTTATAATATTTAAAGAAACTTTTCTTTTTTATATATAATTTTCAAAACCTTTTAACTACCCCTAATAGTGTATCTAAAGAACACTAATTTGGAGTCTTTAGATCAATTCTGCTCATCGGCATTAATATGAATTTAGTTAAAATCTTTTGAAAAAATTTCTTAATTTACTACTGATCCTAGTTCTAATTGGTTCTGACGTATATTAACTATATATAGTTGTCAAAGCATAATATTTCTATCAATTTTCACAAAAAATACTGAAATTCCGACCAAGAAAGAGCTTATAATTATGGAAAATTGCCAATAAACGATCAGAACAGATCATATTGTTAAACTATAATGTTCATTTCACCTAAAAAACTTGTTAATATAAAATCTTATTTAAATTTGGACGAGCGATTGTGATTTTAAGATGATTAAAAAAAAAAAAAAGAATCATCGGTCTGGATTTTTTCGCAACAAACATTTATATTTTATGATATCGCAAAATTTATGATTTTAAGTCTTTTCATAATTCACAGACCAGACTATTTAACAGAAAAATGTCGCAGTCAACAAAATATCATACAGACGCTCTATTATTTTAAAAGTGCCTTAACTACACCGAGAAATTATCAATGTAATAATAAAAGCAATAATCAAATTATTTTTGGATAAGATCTTAAAGTTATTTTTTTTATACTTATTGTTGTATTGACATTTGATTTATTTAATAATCTTTTTTGTTCAATTAATTTTTCTTAAAAACTTCGTTGTTGATCAGACATCAAATTTATTTTGAAGGAATGTTGAGAACATTTTTGAAACTATTGAGAAAAGTTTAAAAACTTATTTTCTACGTGCGTGCCAAATTTTATTGAAAAATATTATGTAGCAGACACCTAATTTTTTGTAGCAGAATATGTACCTAAGTTAAAATAATGTAAACAAAGCAAAATATTGCGCTAATAATATTAGCGTTAGTTAGATTAGGTAGTTTACACATGTTAGATTAGGTACGCATGTTAGATTAGGTAACACATGTTAGATTACATAACACATGTCAGATTAGGTACACATGTTAGATTAGGTAACACATGTTAGATTAGGTAGTTTCTCTATAGAACTTTGTCGTTTTTGGTAATAACGACAAAGTTCTATAGAAAAAATACCTAATCTGACAATTTAAAAGTGGTCGCAGTTTTATTTAGCAATCTATGTAATCAAAATTTGCTACTTAAATGAGCATAACTTTTTGTATAACTATTATTTTGTAATGAAATTTTCATTATTGTAATGCTGATTTTAGCCTCTTTTCAATGATATATAATAATTAATAATAAAAATAGTTTAAAATTTTTACACACGTGCTTACATTGTAGTTGTTAGAAGCTGATGTTTTACATTTTAAATATGTTTCTTTTGTTTGATTTTTCTGTGTTTGATTGTGAAACTCCATCTACTAACATATCAAAATAGTGTACAAAAAGTGATGTTACCAGAATCTATATTCTACTTATGTAGAACTTTTTAATATTTCCAGACATTTTATTATAAGACCTATGACTAGTCTATAATAATTGATTGAATTATAAGATTAAATCAATAAATAATCATCAATAACAATTAAAATAAAAAAACTCAATTTAAATTTATATTTATCTGATTTAAATCATGATTTAAATCGATTTAAATAAACTGATTTAAATCAAAACAATCCTGTATATCCATCTTTCTGAGGCAGAGTGACATTAATCTTAGTTTTATTAATTCTTAGTTTAACTTTATTGGACATTGTTCATATTTAGTTTGCGTAGAACAGTTAACAACTTTAAGCTTATACATTAACTTTACTTAACAACTTAATTATTGATGAATTGGTTTAGAGATTTTTATAGCAATGCAAGATTGAGCTTAGTAGAAGACTAAATTTCTGCTCTGGAGACAAAAAGAGGAAGACAGCAATCTTAGTGTAGATGATTCTTCAAATTATTTTAGTGACGATTCATCTTCAGTTTCATATAATAAAACTAAAAATATTATTAAACTTTGGGATTTACCTGTAACTCCAAACTCTTTGCAGAAGTTCAATGTTTACTTTGAGAAGTTGAATGAACACAATTTAATAAACGGTAAGTTTTAATTCAAAAGTCTTTTTGTCTGATGATGAATCTTTATTCATAGCTTTAACTTTTACAATTTTTAAAGACTTTTTATATATTACGGTCAATAAGTCAGAGTGTTAATTAACATTTTATTGTGCAATAATCAACATATCAAAGTTTACGTCAGTTCAAAGTTTTAACAGTTACCGATGGCTCATTATTATTCATTATATAAACGTTTATTTAAATTTATCTTATAGACAGGTAATACAATATTTTTATAGATGATATTATTTTTAAAAATTGTATTATTAAAATTCAGAATTCAAATATGTAAAAAAAATTATTTACAAACATTGGACAAGGTTTGTACTGTACCTGGATAACCTAGAAAGTAAGGGAATTTTTTTTTCCTTTAGATAGTCATGGAAAAATCTGGGAATTCTGATTGGTAAGTTACTCCTTTTACAATTAAGCTATGTTTTTTTTGGTGCTACCCATTTATTTTTTCTGAAACTTATGTTTTTCTTAGTTTTTTTTCTTAGCCATTCTCAATAATAAGATCCATACTAACATGTATAATAAGATCCATACTAACAACTAAATTTACTAATAGCTAAGTTTTATAAGTTTTGTCATTTAAAACATGTACAATTTTAGCATTTTTATTACAGTAGATAGTAATTTTAAATATTTTGTAAAAACCATTAAAATGGTCAGGGAAATTCATCTGATTTTTCAAAAAAGTCAAGGAATTTTATATAAATATTTGGCTACGAACCCTGTTGGAAAAACATTTTTTTAATATGAATTTTTTTGTTTTACAGTGTAATCTGTATCTGAAACGTTAACAAGAATTGTTTTGTGACAGTGCCAGAAAGTGAATGCACACCAGGAGATTCAATAAATCATAAAAATATTATGAATCCATTAGCAAGTATATATTTTTATCATTAAAAATTTGCTCATCTGTTTTTAATTTTATTTGGTTTTTTAATAAATGTTGTATTTACTTTCATAAATTCTGAATGTTATATGTAATTTGTTGTATAGTTTCTTAAAAATGTTAATAACTTTATTGTTTCAAGGAAAAGTTGTATCTCCTAAAGATATGCAGTTAATATTGGCACGATGGGTAAGCATTGAAGTGCAACTTGGTGAACTACAAAACACATCAAATTTAATTATATAAAAATTTGAGTAACAAAGATATGTTAATTAATGATTTGCCTGAAAGAGTATCACTTTACCATTAAGAGCAGTGGAGAATTTAAGTACTCTAAAAGAAAAAAGACAAAAAAATACTTAAGCAAATAGTAAATATTTTTTTATGATCCGTTTATGCATTTTGTATGATATCTTTGTACAATTTATATACTTTAAACAAAATACTCTTTGAAGGTTTTTTGTAAATGAGATTTTATATTAATTTAAGTATAATCAAAAGTAACTTTTATTATTGCCAGGTTGTATATTTTTGGAGGTTAATTATTTTGGACAAATTAGAGTTAAAGACGAAGGAGATTGTACATGTTATTTATTAAGAATAATTTTTAAAAATGGCTTAGCTGTAAAAATAAACTATGCAGGGAGAGGACAAAAGTTCGGAATATTAAAAATGTTGATTGCATGTTTCTATTGGTAAGGGGTCGTCCATAAAGTACATACGCTTTTATTTCAACCTTACCCACCCCCGTCCTCCACCTCATTTTGCTATATGCTTTTTTGAGTACACCTCCCTAAAAGTATCCATAATTTTAACCTACCTACCCAATTCTTTATGAAGTTTTTTTTATTTAGTGTTTCCTCACTTTTATAATTGACCCACTGCCCTCCGATCTCTTATACACACATACACTATTTGCAGACCCCCTTTTCTCCTCAGAGCGTACGTACTTTATTTTTTTTTTTTTTATATTTTCTCTTTATCACCCGATAGTAAATTACAGGTAAAATAATATTTAAATAGTCAAACAATAAATTAAAAATTAGCTAAAACAACACGGCTCTTGTAGTTGTTAGCAATAAATGCTTATAAACAGCCGGTTTGTTTTCCACATATTATTGGGACAGAGTTCTTGGAACATTCTCCTCCATCAAGATTTTAAACGCCTCTCTCTTTTCTTTTAAATTCCAAAACTGGAACGTTTCTTTCAATATTAGCATAATATTAGTTTGTAGCTCTACGATGGGTTGCGTCAATTTAATTTTTTTGCCATTTAACATGCACTGTATGAAATTTAAATCAAGTGTGTTGCATGCATCAAATACTTCGTTTGTAAAGGATTTTTTATTCTGTGTTTCCTGTATTTGATTAATTATCAGTGAGTAACAAGTTTGATTTTTTAGCAGCCTGATAAAAAGATTAACTTTGTTCCTAAGGAGAATAGTTGAGATATCTTCTATTTTAAAAAAAGAATGAAGGTAATTTTAAATGATTTTAAGACTGCTCTTCCAACAGCGTCTATTTTGCTGAGAAAATTAGTATCATATTTACATAGTTCAAGACCATATATAAGCTTCGGCACTGTTAATGTATTGTACAGATGAACAATTGTTGATGGCTGGCAGTAACGAATCCCACTGTCGATTAGAGCTTTTGCAACTAATTGAAACTGAGTTATACGCTCATTTAAATTTTTTTTTCGGAGTGTTGCAATTTTATTTTTGCTGGTATCGTTATCCCATTGAAAACCCAGATGTTTTAATTTATTTTGAAGATATATAGAGACTCCATTAATTTTAACAACGTTGTTAGGAATATAACTTTTTCCAGAAATCAGAAATTCTGTTTTCTCAGTGTTTAGCTTGATAAAGTTTGCTACTCCATATGTTTGATATCTGTTAATCAGTTCCTGCAGACCAGAGATTGTGGGGCTTAGCAAAATTACATCATCTGCGTATGCAATTACACCAGTATAAATTCCATTTATTGTCGATCCTACTTTACATTCTGAGACAATTTCATTTAGGATGCTTTCAGTATAAATGTTATATAAATGTGGCGATAGAATAGACCCTTGTCGCACCCCTTGTGATAAACTGAATTGATTTGAGGTAACACCTTGATAGGATATGTTTGCAGAACCAGAATGATAAAGGGATGATATTGTGTGTACTACAGACAACGGAAGTTTTTTTTGGAAATACAGCTTCTCAAATAGCAAATCCCAGTTGCAAGTGTCAAAAGCTTTATTAGCATCTAAACTGCACATATATAAAGGCGTGTTATTGTTTTTATAGTGCATAACAGTTTCGCTCAGTAAAAATTCTGCGTGGAGAGTAGAACTGTTTTTTTTAAAACCAAATTGATGGGAATAGCTATCTGTTATACTAGGACATATTTGTAGTATTAGATACTCTAGAAGTTTAGTAAAGATAAGTAAAATACTAATTCCTCGATAATTATCTGGATTATTAAGAGATTTTTTATATGACTTAACAAGTGGAATAATTGTTGAAGTTGATAGATCATTTGGTACTTTTCCATTCGATAGAATACTGTTATAAAATTTAGCGAGCCACAAAAGAAGATTATTATTATGAGAGTTTTTAAGGTGTTCAGCACTTAACCCATAGCTATCTGGGGACTTATTACTATTTAATTGTGAGATGCAATTTATAATATCAGCTGATGTTATGATTGGTGAATTAGGCTCTTTACTTAGAGATGGAATTTGAGAAGGATTATGGTTATTATTTAAAATAAGAGGCGTATTGAGAAGAGTTTGAAAATGTTGTCTAAATTCTTGAACGATATCTTTTATATTTTGCGATTTGTTAATTGTAAATAATCGAGTTGTTGCTTTAGTTTTGATTTTACGGATGTTATCCCAGAACCTCTGAGGATTAGTGGTTCGAAGATTTTCAATATTTATAGTTTTTTCGTGGATCTTTTTGTTATGAGCTGCTTTAACAGCTTTACGGAAGTTTTTGCGTGAAAAGATGTATCTTTTGCATTCAAAGATGTATCTTTTGCATTCTTGTGTTTTATTATAATTAGACTTTTGCCATTGTTTATAGTTAAATGAAAGATTTTCTTTGCATTTTTTAAGGTCCGTTGTCCACCATGATTTGGAATACTTACAGATTTGTTGTTTAAAGCACTGCTTAACTGCTATCAAAGCAGCATTTTTGATTTTTTCGCATGTTTGTTTTAATTCTTGTTCGATTTCTTCTTCATTGAAGGTGTAGTAGTTGAAAGCTACGGAGAGGTTTGATTATACATGTTAATGAATTTTTCGTTATTCCATGCATATTTTGGAATATAATTATATTTATGCATTATGCTATTTATTACGGTTGATAGATTAGTATGTGTAACGACGATATTTGTAGCGATTGGTAAGTGATCACTAAAATTAAAGGGAGAAGGAGGAATAACGCTTGTATTTTTAAATAATAAGGATGACTCTTTTAGAGCTGCGATGTGATTGATATACGATGAGTTAGATAGAGTTTTATGCTGATAAATGTATGTTGGACCAGCGCCACTGATTATATCGATAAATGAGAGCTTATTTGATTTAATGAAATTTGTTAGATGATTAGAGAATTTATTGCGTTTTTTATTATTTCGGATCTCAGAATCGTAGAGTGTTTCGGGATAAGACTGAAAATCTCCAGCAATAATACATTCACTTACATCTTCGTAGTTTTTTACAATTGAAGTGATTAGGTTTAATTGTTGTTCGTACTTTGAAAGGGATTCCTCGTTTTTTCGACATGATGTGAGATAAATACCAATAAAGACTTGATTGTGACACTTATTTTTACCTTTAATAGCGAGAATATTGTCATCTTCATAGATTATGTGAGGAGACAGTAAAACATCTTTTTTAATAATGAATGCGCTTCCTCCAAATGGTCTTCCAAATGCTTTTTTTTCTGCCGCATGAAAAAATACTTTATGTGTCGGCAATGCTATGTTTTTTAGCACAAAAAGTTCAATATTCAAAAGCCAATGTTCCGATAGAAAAATAATATCAAATGATTTGACCAGTTCGGAAATATAAATTGAGTTCGATTTAAAACTTTGGCAGTTATATGCACAAAAAGAAATATTTTCAAAGATTTTACTTTCTATGTTTCTATCCATTTTGAATTAGAATTTAGTATTCGAGTTGAGTAAGAATGTTGCTGTGCAAAGGATGGTTGTTCTTTAGATGTAGAAATTATTTGTTGAGTTGGTTGTACAGAGTGTAGCGTATTAACTGCACTCTGCTGTGGTGTTTCGTTTCTTGAGGTAACACGATGAAGCCTGAATGGTTTAACGATAATATTAGTATCCCAAATATCAGGGTTTAGGATTATGTCTTTTTCATAACTTTTTATGATAACTTTGAATTAACGATTGTATTTATTTTCCCGGTTAAGCTCTACCTTAATAGGCTCAAACCTATTTCATTTTTGATGTGGTTAGATAGATCTTCTTCCGACATTGAGTTACAGACCCCTCCTACAAAGATATAAGATCGTACCGTACGTACGCCTGCAATAGAGTTTCTGTTAAATGCAACTTTTTTTCCGAAAATAGGCTTCATTATAGACCTTTCTGTTGGGACTTTATTTGTTGCATTGTTTTTTTTGACTACCATATAGGAACAATCATTTTTTTTCCAGTCCTCTCTTTTTTCAATAATTGGTGGCTGCATTTGAACCTTTTTAGGATAGGTGACTCTATTTTGGTTTCCGTTTTCGTATGTTTTTAAACTGGACTCCATAATGGTAGTCTCATCATGAAGGAAATGTAAAGGTATATTATTTAAAGTATTTTCATTATTTGAGGAATGACTTTCTATTGAATCAGAGACAAAAGATTTTTTAGTATTTAGCGGTTTTTGAAATGATAAATTACTACAGCTGTTTGAAAGCAACGTGTTTTGATTTTTTTCGATTTTTTTGCACGTTTGCTGCAATTCATCATATTTTCATTGTAATAAATGTAGGTCGTCAGTAATTTTCTTGTTTTCTAATTTTATTGTTTTAACGCAATCGACGAGTTCTTTTAAGGTCGACAACAGACTTACATCATGTAATTGTTGACTATTTTGTTTGCAACCAGATACCAATTTACCAAAATCTTTGTGAAGCTGTTTTTCTGTTAATGATATCGACATAAAATATATGTCATCTAGACATGTTGCAATTTTATAACGCTTTCTAAGGTTTTTTCTTACAGGATCTTCAGCGTCAAGAGTAATATTGATGGAAGAGAATTGATCCATATCAAAATTTTCTATAATTTCGGTAAATAGTGTTACTCTAAGATAAAAAATATCAGCTTCTCTAAGTTGCAAAAATCCTTGAATAATAACATCTTTTGGATGAGAG